CTGAGCTTGGTTGTTTTCTTGCAAACGTTTTGTTACCCAGCTAGGTAACATCTTCAGTGCAACAACCAACCAAGCTCAGCACTAAAGACTTCGTATTTGGATTATTTAGAACATATTCAGGCCACTGTTACAACACAAAATACTTGAGATCCAGGGGTTGCTAAAACTTATAGGAAATGATGTACGTGTCAAGAATTGTTCTTCTCATCCTCCCTCTCCCACAAGAATCCTCTGCAGCAGAATTAATGGAGAGAAAACGAATGGCACATCCTGGCTGAGGGGGGATCCAAAGTGGTCCCCCCATGGCATGCCAGGGCCTTCACCTGCTGCTGCTACAGAAGCTAGTTCTCTGCCTAAGAGTTTTTAAAAGAAATCTTTATTATACGGAGCACCTGTCCACAAAAAACTTTGCAAAGTTCCCTCAGAATTCTGTTACTTTCATCCTGCTATCTACTTGAAGGTAGGCTAGCTTCAGTATTGTAAAATTGAACAAAGGATATAAGGAAGCCAATAAATGCGCCACATATTCACATGGCTCCAGCTTCTATCCAGACTACTTCATAAACCTATCCAATGAACAGAGTCACACACATGAGGGATTTAAATCAGGCACCTGTCCAACTGCAGTATAAACTCAAATGTAAAAGTAAAACAAACAAACAGGGTCGAAATTACCTACAGAGGAGAAACTTAACTGAATCTATTTTCATCTATAGCTCCCAATTCAATCACTGTTTCAGTCTTAAGGTACCTCAAAACTCTGTGTTTTTGCTCCCTCTGCCATGAGTCAATGCTGACCGCCCTCAACTGGCAGGTGCCCCCAAGAACATGACAAAGGTCCTGGTTCTTTTCTCTTTCTCGGTTCTCCATCAGACCGAGCTCTGAATGCTATTTTACCCAAGGCTGAGAAGAGGAGGTCCCTCGCTGGACAGGTGACAGCCACCTGCAAGCCTCCGCAGCCTAGAGGAATGCCCTGCAAGGCTCTGTTTCCTCCCCGCTCTGGCTGGAAGAACATTTGGCCAAACATTTTGGTGGTGCTCTTGAGGGCTGTGTTCAGTGCATCAACCCAGCAGAGGTCCTGGCCTACTTACTGTTTTTTTGAACAGCTCTAGTTCGCTTTCAGAGAAGTCACTTGCCATTTTGGTAATGTCCGTTTCTGCCAGATTCACCTAGGATTAGAAATGAATATGCAAAGGCGGGGGTTGGCTGCTGGCCACAGGGAGGCTCTGAAGTAGCCCAGGCCAACTTGGTCTCCAGCGCACTGGGAGCACCTCAGCCCAGACCTGTCCTGGCGAGCCCCTCCTTCAGCCGAGGGCTGCCTCCCCCCCCCCACAACTGAAGCAGTTCAGAGCAATGACGATAATTCTATCCTTAAGATCAGTGGGAATGATGGAAGGTTTTAGACTTAACCACCCCTCCTCCTTCAATGGACAGCTTCCTTTCCTGTTGCTTGCACATGGCAAGGGGCATTCTAAGCTGGTAGCATACCACCTTACCAGGGCAAAGTATGTTTTCCCATTTTCTTCCGCAGTGCCTTTCCTGATCTCCATGGATAAAGGTTGCAGCCGTACATTCAGGGCACTGATGAAATCATCCAGTTGATCATTCACATAACTGACTGGCAGGAGACATAATGGGAAAACGGATCACCTTGTCACATAGCCACAGACAAAAAGACACACACAGCCCCTGGCAGCTCCAAGGACGCCTCGAGGAAGAGGCCCTGGAGTCAGGAGACCACAGGCAGCCCTGCCCACGGCGGGCTGGCAGAGGCAGAAGGGCCGGCT